CTTCCAGCTTTGGGCCGGAACCGGAAGTCTGGGGGGCGGGGCCCGGCAGAGGCCAGGGGACCAAAAACGCGGCCGAGCTCGGAGCCCGAAGCCGGAGCCAGAGCCTGGACCCGAACTTGGCCGTCGCCTGCACCGCCGCCGCCGCCGCCGCCACCGCCTGCCGCTCCTTCCTCGCGCTGCTGTCGCTGCTTCGGCCGCCGCCGCCGTGGGCTCGGCCGCCAGTGGTCCGCGGACTTTGGGTGTCCGGGTTGAAGGTCGGTCCGGACGTCGGACCCAGCTCGGTTCCCGGACTGTCCTGGCGGCAGCGGGCGCTGCCGCCGCCGCCGCCGCCTCCTCGTCGCCTCAACCTGGCGTTTTGTTCTGAGAGCTCGGAGAGGCGAACGGAGCTGACAGTGATTTTGACAGTGATTTAAACCCGCTTTTGTTGTTGTTAGCTTTTCGTTGTTTGGTTTTGAGTGTTGTGCGTGTGTGTGGCGGTTCTCCCTGTGGTGCATTTTTTTTGTGCCTTTTAAAAAATTTTTTTTTTAAAATACAACCCCGTGAACGCTTTTGGTTGTGTTTTTTTTTTTTTTTTTTTTTTAATCGGGGTTTCCGAATATGTTTTATGACGGTTGATTTTACACCAGGAGGTTTGTCCTCGAGGAAGACCCGGGGAACTGGATATCTAAGGAGAACTTGCTCCGGCTTCCCCGGCGCCTGGGGAAAATGGGAGCCGCAGCGAAGTTGGCGTTCGCCGTCTTTCTTATCTCTTGTTCTTCAGGTAGGTGCAGGGGACCCGCGGGGCCGCCGCTGCCGCCGCCACTGCAGGCGGCGCCAAGGGCTGTGGGGTCGCCGTGCAGCCCGGGGAGGGTCTCCGCCTTCCGCGAGCCCCTCTGCCCGCCACTCCCTCGGGCTCATCTTCGCGATCTGCAAACCTCCATGAATTTCCCCCCCTCGTTTCGAGGGAGGTTGGCGAGCCGATCACGAGCCGCACGGCTCTGTTGTTGTGGAAGTGAGAAAGTCATGGTTTGTGGCCATCACGCTGGATGACAGCGCTGGCTGGCTTGCAAATGAACCCGCAAATACCACAAGTGACAATTTCTGCAAAGCTGGAGAGCTGAAAGGCATATTCGCAAATGCTACTTAGTGTGGGATCGTTCAGAAATAAGGTGGTGTGCTCCCCCCCCCCCCCACCACTCCTTGCCTTTTAATTAGCGCTTCGGTAGTGACTATTACGACACAGATCAGGTCACTTGCTATTTTATTTTGACCGTGAGAAACAATGTAGCCTATCAGCAATTTCATCGCTGTCTCCTCTCATGTTTGGTTTTTGGTGTGTTTTTTTTTAACGTTAGTGTCCAGCAGTGTTAAAAATAGTTGTAGTTGTTGAAGTATTAACTATAACTCGGTGCAGGGGAGGTATGCCACTTGTGTGTTGGCAATTTGTTGGCTTTCAACCACCATTTGAGAAGCTCTCTTCGGGCATAGATTTTGCTTACCTTACTTATTTTAAACGCCGTGTGGTGTTTTCGGGTTGGAACGGCTCATGAAATGATTCTTACTGTTAAATACCTATAATCATAAGATAAGTTTTGGTCCAACGTGGGAACAATAATCCGGCCTTTTTAAAATTTGGAATTTGGATTTTGTGAGAACGTTCGATGGTTGCAACCAGTGGTTGGAAAAACTAGTCTTTTGTACTTGCTGTGTTTTAAACGAATACAGCCATCTAGCCCAAGATGTGCAAACGTATGTAGCAGGAGAGAGTGAGTTCAAGAGGTGAAACGATTTTGAAGTCGCAGTGAATCTGTTTATCTTAAAATTCAACGCTCACTTACTAGATTGTGAGAGAGAATTACAGGGGAAAACCCGAATTGACAGGTTTCATGCCCATGTCTTTATCGTGTTTGCTACAGGGAAATTAGAGGGTGGTAGTCTTTTCTTTGTGTACCTCTATAGTGTGTGTCTGTGTGTCTGTATGTCCGTCCATCTTCCCCCACCTCCCTTTTAAATAGAATCTTTTGTAATGTATAGAATTTTGCTGAATGGTACATTTCCTTGTGGTTAATAAATGGATAAAGTCTAGTCTTATGTCTGTAGTGGTATTGATCAGTTCCGGGTGGGCTGAATGTGTTGTGAAATGGCGATCATTGCCAGAGATTAACCAAAAGAATCATGTCTGTTTAAATGGAAGAAGGAACATGCTTAAGGCAGGCTGACAGTCTTTTTTGTGCAGGGTTGGGGAGGAAGATAAACAATGGTGTATGTGGAATGAATAGAAGGCCTTGATGGCATTAAACCTCTTGCTTTTGTGAGATGACTTAACCATATAGTTTTTATTTTATGGATAGTACTCTCTCTCCTCTGCCCCTATATGTTCTGTTTGGTGAACTCTTCCTGTTCAAGTGGCTTTTCTGATCTCCTGCCCTTAAGAAGGAGGGGCATAATGGCCACTGGAAGGAATAGTGGACATTTTTCCTCTCCCAAACCCACCTTGATCATATGATTGGTGAATGAGATTATTCTGGAGGAGTCTTAAGGTATTTATTCACTCCTCTTGAAAAAGCAGGTAATCACTTCAGATCTTAAATCTTCCTCTGTGTGGTTTGGGAGTAACAACATAAACTGACTGCTCAATTGCATCAATTTCTTAAAGGATTATTTTCACTGGGCCAGGAGGTTAATAACCAATACTTTGAAATAAGTAGGTTTGATGCTGTATAGAGCATATAGAGATTCCACTTATGTGAAACTACTATTAAATACTTCTGCACTAGTTTAAAAATGAGCATGTCTGAACTATGTGATCCTATTGAAGATAATTGGCATAATCACAAAAATGTTATTCTTTATTTATACTTGAAGAATATTAGTATGTGAAATATTTTATTTTTCAAAAAGGGCGTTTGTGGTCAATCAAATGCACTATAAAAAGGTTTCTTTTGCTTCCCTTCCTAATTGATTTTTGTATGGAATGTATGATACAGGAAGCGTGAGGATGGCAATTTTTATGAGATACGAAAAATTTCTCAAGTTGTCAGTTTCTGGGAATTTTTAAAATTGAGAATAGTCATGAAAAGCTATTATATTACAAGTGTTAGGATGAATGTTTGTTATTTCTTTTAGTATTTGTTTGGATTTTGATTTTTCTATTTCATTCTATGACATGTTTTCTGTCCTGTAGGAGATAAATAATAAAGAAACCTCACACTCCCCAAACATAACTAGACCTCACATCTATTGCTATTTGGTCGACTGCTATTCATAACCATCCTATAGGACAGATAGGCCTGCTTTATGGGGGTTTCCACAGATGGAAGCTTATGGAATTAGATTGCCACATCTTTCTTCTTTGAAGCATCTGTTGAGTTTGAACTGCTGTCTTATATGTAGTAGCCAGGTGCTTAACTACTGTGCTACAAGAGCATATTTTCTTGCAGTAGACTATGTAATTTCTTTTCTTCTCTCTTTCTAGATCTTTGCTCTCTCATCTTGGAATGCTTTGCAGTTTCTTTATTTTTATTTTTAATTTCTTTCCCTCTCTTTTCTGGCCTCAGATTGTTTAAAAATTTAAATCTGTTTCTTAGTTTGAAATTTTTTTTCCCTTAAAAATTTTTTTTTTATAAGTTCTGATCCCAAGTCTCTCTTCAGGCAGAATTTGAATAGAGTCAGAATAGTTAGGCATAGCTGATTAGTCAGTTGTTTGTCTTAGTTTATAGTGTATCTTTCTGTGCATTAAAGAAACAATTCCAGATATGTTAAAACATCTTTAAATTTAATAATATAGCAATAATAATGTTTTGAGGTACTGTTTGAAAACAGTGCCCATTTGTTATGAACCATTATATAGTTCAAATTATTAATACAAATAGGTTTTGAGAGTGAGGTGTTGGCTCATAACTATAGTTTATAAATCTAATATTCTTATATCAGGAAGGAGTGTAGATTATTTGTATCTTTCACTACAGTTTGTTTAAAACTTGAAAAAGATTGATACTTACTCTTGTATTTAGGTTTCTTGTACCTACCTGTAATACAGCTATTAAGAGATTTTATTTACATTGAAGTAAGTTGGGAATTCTTTGAATTCTCTTGGAATTTTAATAGCCTATTAATATATTTTATTAAAAATAATCCCTGAAATAAGGAAAGAAAATAGAGTATTTATATTCATATTCTTCAGTTTAGGTAATACAGTGTGTGTGCTTTTGTATCTGTGAGTGATTGGAGTGAGGATTGACAGTACAGAGACTTTTAGGAATTCTTCTGAACTTTCATTATTAAGTGGTAGATATTAGAGAATTTGCTTCCTAAAAGATTGAATCTCTTAAATGAGATTGACCTGTGATCAAATTCAGATTAAAGTATCCAGGCCAGAAAAAAAAGGAAACATCCCTTCAAGTAATTTTGAATTTTTTCTGCTATTGTTCCAAGCATAGTTCTGAACTATAGTTTTGCAGCTAAGATTGATTGCCTCCCAGGGAACATTTGAAGACAGTTTTGGTTTTCCTAACTGGGAGGAGGGTGCTACTGGCATCTAGTGGGTAGAGGGCAGGGATGCTGCTAATCATTCCATAATGCACAGAATAGACAACACAACAAATTGTCCAGCTCAGAATGTCCATAGGCTTGAGGCTGACAAAGCCTGTTTAAGTTTTTCATTTTAGACAACATTAGTATGCTACTAAAAAGTCTCCAACCTCCCCACCCTAAAGAGAGTATCCTAAATTTGTGGTCATATATGGAAAGTTACAAATCATGGTATTTGTGATCATGTATTTCATCTTTTAAAATTAGAATGTGATTAAATTAAGAAAACAGACTAGGTATATGCATTATTTTATCCTATTATACTTTAATAAAATAATTTGCTGCTACAAATAAATTTTCTAAGCATTTGTTAAGGTAGAGTTGTCATGAAACTATATTATCATGAATGATGCGTGATTGGTAATGATACCAAGCTTAATTATATTTGTTGTTGATCCATTTGTCTTTTTGCTATAATAATCATATTTATGATACTTCTTTTCATCCTTATTGAAATAGCAGCCAGCAGTAGTGATGATTGTGTGTATGTACATCCAAATCATGGTGCCTAGAATTTTTAGAAATTTTGTCTGGAAAATATGCTCAATGTTGTATGTTATTTGAATTATTTAAGTGTATTGATTTATTTTTAAAATAATCATGTCTTTGTCTCACTAGTTTTAATTTAAGGAAACTTTTAAAATGACATCTTAATTCTGTCATTTTCTTGAGGCTCTTTAGTTGACTTTTAGATACTATAAGATTAATTCAGACAGTATAGTGTTCTATGTGATTTGTTGCAGACCTGTGCCCTTTTAAACATTAAATCATGAGCATAATTAATAAGTTCTTATCTTATTTTTATCTGGCTTTAAGGAAATTAATTCAGCCAGCCAAGATAAACTAAAAAATTAAAGAATTAAGTAGCCACAGTATCATTGAGGGGAAAGTTCTGAAGTCAATTCCATATAAGGATTGCAGATAAACTTAACATCCTTTCTGTAATGTCACTTCACGTCCTGATCTCAAGCACATTTTCACTGGTGAGCCCACCAAACTCATCTCTTCTTGAAAAGTTCAGCAGGCATACGTGAGTCAAATGAGACTTTTGTAATCCCTTACTTGTTTTAGTTTCTGCAATTTGATTTTGTTGTATTTTACCTTTGTGTCTTTATTTCTCATCTTTGGTGTTTTATGACTATGATTTACATTGTCTTTTCATGCTTTCTTATGTTTCCACTTGCTAAGTGA